GTGCGGGGGACAGTCTACCTGCCCACGCGAACGTAACGATGACTCCTTCCCATGTGCGATGACTCCGCCCTTATGCACGTATTTGGAATTTATCCGTTGATGATGCACGTCCTTCTGATTTGTTTTCAAATTTCACTATTCCCCTTCTAGAATCTTCGCGCGGAAATTGAACAGAGGAAGCCTAGGGTAACCGAGGTCGTGCAGATGGCAAGAACTTACCTCCTTCAGCAAGACTTGCGTTCGTCGTTTTCCTCATCTTCTCCCGCGGATGAACAGGATGAAGGTGAAAGAGTTATTGCCTCATCTGAACGGTTAACTTTAAGTTTCGTGAATGTTAAACTGTAGCGAACACACAGTCTGTTTACACAATGTCATATTAACGATGCACCATTGTGATAAGCCATTATCGACATTTGGATCGGTTTCGCGCATATCTCCGCAGTATGATCGACGGCAGGTTCTGTCGGAGTTGCGAAATCGACGTCGCGTGCGACTCGGGGTTACAAAAGTGTGAGTTCGAATGCTTGCCCGGTCACTTGCCTTTTATCCTTCCGATGTAGATAAATAAATAAGTATATGTGAAAAAAATTCAAGCGATTATGCGTTGTACACTGTAGTGGCCATAACGCTACTGATTTTGCCTTTGAAAGCAAATCGCACTCATGACCGAGTGAATTGTGACATAGATCAGCTCCACACCATTAACTCCATGCGAAAACGCTGTTATATATTATTGAGTCGTGGGAAAGACGGACATCCTGGCGGTCACGAACCTTCCTCTTTGGCGGCTGGTTACATTAGTGATCTTTCATTATGGCTGATGGCGCTGTAATGAGCAGTGGAACAGTTTGCCTCTGATCTTGTCCTCATTCTGCATCCTTTAAAAATCAGGCAAATGCCCATTTGTAATGCAGGGCACTCGTTTTTCATGTCGACGACTGCTGCACCACGCGGATAAAGCATGTAGAATGTCTTATCGTCATGGCATTTTCAAACTTAAATTGGCAGTATCAAGCCTCAGTACTATTCAAGAACGATTGCAGAGGGGCTGATATGTCATACATTTAATCAGCCCCAAGGTACCGCGGAAAGTAGTACAGGAATTTATGAAAGATTGTATTCTGCTACTGATCGCTTACACAAGATCGGTAGTTTTTCCAGCAGTCAATAAAGCAGATTTTCTTTTCATACTCCACATTCTCCGCGCTGTGTCATAACTGGTCATTTGAAAGTGAGTCGCTTACTAAATATATCATGCTCAGTGCAACTTGGAGAAAAAATTTTTAACTACTCCTCCCACCCGTTTGATGAATCAGAGTCACGGTGAGAACAAACGGTCGAGCCAAATGCATTCACGTATATGCCCGAACGGAAAATTACAGAATCAGAGTTTAATTTATTTAAAGTTTAATTTATCAGTTTGTCACCAAATAGATCGTTACAGAAATTTCGCCTGTATTTCGCGTACCTTCATTGGAGTAACGTCGTAATCGGTAAGCTGCTATTCTTGGTAGTTACTCCAAGCCATCAAGCTTATATATATTTTTTTGCTTTAAGTATACTTGCAGTGTTCGTTGCGTAGCGTTTCTCGTATGTTCGTCTGCGATCATTCATCTCCTTAATTAAATGCATTTGTGGTTGATAAGTGTGTCTATTTTCGTTATGCAATATATTCCGCAGTTGCGTATTAATGTTTAAACCCAGTTTCAGTGAATGCCTAGTTAATTCACAATGAATCAGTAATGCTGCTACTACATCAGCTTTTTTGTATGTCATTAATATAGCAAAAATGGCTTCGTACGTTGAATTATATTAATTAGCGTTTTATTGATTTATTAACTTATTGCTTAACTTGTTTAAGCTGCACTGCACGGTGTATTGCACCACGCAGTCGCTCCTTGTACGCCCATGACTCCATGCAATTTGAGGCCAATATGAGATGCATCTCTCATCATTTTATTGGTTAGCGCAATACTTTGCTTGTCATTGGTGATTTTTCAGCCGGTGCGTTTTATATGCTCTCCATAATGTCTTAAATTTGGC